TGTCTTTTTTTTAACCCAAATGGGGAAATGATATAAATCTGTGGCCACTCTTGGAAAAGGGCAGAAACGAGAAACACCCAAAACGCTTCTCTCATAAACATCGGAGCCATTTGTCTATTTGGGAAACTTTTATTTTTTTAATGCACACCATCAATAAGAATAATTACAGAGACGGCTGAGGACACGTCATCACTCCATATGAAACTAATCCAACTCGGAGAGTTTCTAGATGTTTAACAGTTCAGTGACCTCACAAGCCGGAGCAAATGTTTGGATCCAACTCACAAAAGGTCTGTTGTATCTCAGCAGGAATGCCGTGATTGCAGGAAGCCGTCTTATCTCCTATCGTACCATCTCTACCTTTGTCAGCTCTAACGCCGTTAGAGAAGAAGGAACATGCTACGCTAAGTTTCAGTTCTCAGGACGCAGATTATTCATTAATCACAAAGTAGGAGGAAAAAGTAGTTGTTGATGGGAGCCGCTTGAAGGAAGACGGCCTTTAATAGGGAGGAAGGAGAGAGGGGCACGTGTTTGTTGATGTTTACTCCCCAGTGGTGGTTACACAACAAGGCCGTTTTAGCCCAAATCGTTAATTAGATCTGCTGTGGGGTGTTTTGTGAAGTTGGCTCAAAAACAACACAGCTGTGGACCAGCTGAGCACGCACACACACACACAAACACACACAACCACACCATCGCAATATTGACCTCTCCCTTGAATACGCTTCAGGCTGCTAAAGGAAAAGGGGATCACGAGGGCGCTTCACTCTGAGGTGGTCTTCAGACCAGAACACCTTCTGACTGAAGTCAACAAGTGAAAACCGTCATCGCATGTCGGGACAACGTGCAGAGCAACGCCGCCGGCCGGTCGCCCCGGGCAACCTTTCCTTTCGTCATCAGCGATGATCAAAGGGAGAGTGGATCTGGATCCTTCAGTCTGACGGGACATGCCCCCTCCTTACCCCTTCCTCCCCCCAATCTCCCCTCCTCTCTCAGCCCAACAGACACCTGCTTGTTTCAACCGTCCTTCCGGCCTGGAGAGACTCTTCCCAGACTCCCGGGGGGGGGAACAAACAAATAAACACGCTCATTCAGAGCCAAAACTGCAGTTTTGATGCACCTCTAATCCTGTCCGACGGCAACACGCGTGGGCGACTTCCCACAAATATGCAGGAGGTTATATTATATTAACTTCCCCGTGGCCCGCTCCTACATGCACCCGACCTGACCTATGACCTTTGAGTGGGCGCTCAACGTTGTTAAATCCCCCCCCTCAAAAAAAGGAAGGAATGACATTCATTCACAAGAAGAAAGCCGCCATGAGTCCTTCAAAGGGAGGGCCGATCCCAACAGTTTAAACATGCTGCGTTTGGATGTTTTCCCCGAGGGAACAGGGAGGTAACAGCGCATTGTTTCATAATCTGTTTTATATGTATTGACTGCATAATGGAGCCATAAAATAGGAGGGGTGTACAACACCATGAAGTCACGTGTAATAATGATAGATCGTCACATTTTGGATTAAAACCGTCAGGCGGCTTAAACAAAAGCAGCCGTAGAAAGGAGTGAGGATGCTGCTCCGTCCAACTTCAAAATAAAGGTCGACCACATAAAACCAGGACATTTATTGCAAGAGCTCTGACGGCCGATGTTTAGATTAGGAAGAACCGGTCTAGAGTTAACAACGCGCCATGAAAATGTCCCGCTAAACCCACTTTTTGATCTTTTCCTGATCTTTTCTAAAATAGAAGAGGCAGCAATAAACTAAAGGAGTACAAAGGACGGAGGTCACACACACCGAGCGTCCCACGCAGAGCCCATCCTGAACTCAAGACATCCTGTGTTTGTCCTCGGGTTTGACGCTTTAACAAACTCGTCTTTCTCGAGTCAAAAGAGTTTTGTCCGGGACACATTTAGCTGTTCCTGTTTACCCTGCAGGATAACGCACATGTTTGTGATCCGGGGGTTTATTTCAAATCATTTGCAGACACAACCACCGAGGCCAAGGGCCTGTGGACTGCCCATCCTCAAAGTGTCTAGTCAGCAAAAATCACCTATATACAGTTTAATATGTCGGTGATCCTTTTGAAGCTCCGACAGAGTCTGCTGTTTCTTTTTGACCCTTTCTTCATGAGTTCATCCCATCTCCTTATTAAAAGGATTAAACACAAAGTGAATCCAGTTCACACAGTCAAAGAAAAAGCAGAATGATGCAGATACACAACCTACAGCACCTCTCCACTCAGTTTCGGACACATGGAAAACAGGTGTGTGGGGGGGGGGGGGGTGTCACTGCCCGAAGAACAAACAAATACAAAGTTAATGTAGAGGAAAATTCAAATAACTGCCCATGAACAAACATGTGTATAACCGTTTCCACCCGGCCACAGCAACACACTTCACACGCATCTCTGAGGACTCGCATCATCTTTTTCCTTCTCGCTGTCACTATTATCCTCGCCACCATCATCATCATAATCGCCTTCGACGTAATCACCGCAACAACGTCCTTCCGAGTCATATTCAACATCATCACGTTCATTATGCCTAATAGCCCAACTGCGTAAATGAAATGCATAATCATTTGTGAGTGATGAGCGTGTGTGCAGCATGTGTGTGTCCTCTTGCATGTGCACGACGAGCAGCGCTGCAGGCTCAATGTGTCGTGTCAGCGTGTTGCTCATTAGTAAAGATTAGAGGCAGTTATGAGCTCTTACGATTCTTCTGTGGAACGAAAAGCACGAGAAACAGCAACGAGAAACTTTCCCCGTCTCGCCTTCTTCATAATCATCTCATCTCATTACTTGTTTTGTTAGGATGTTGTCATCTCAACTAATCATTAACTCTGTCACCATCAATCCTCGCATATGCTCGTTCAATAACTCATTGTTTTCTCCTTTGTTGCCAGCGATGACCCTAATGACTCGTTTCCCCACAGAGCAACAGCTGAGACAGCAGGGGTCAATAATAATGGGTTTAATCAACCGGGGCATCTGCTGCCGACTGGCGAGGGCGCGTCCAGAGCTGATGCATGTGTTCGTTCACTCGCTCATACATTTCTGCATATGGCTTTATCCCTCCCTGCACTCATTCATTCATCCGCGCACTCAATTATTTAACTTTCAATATGTTTGTCCCTCAGTAAAAGGGGCGATCTGTCATGTGCTAATCCAGCACGCGTTATCCAATTAGCAGAAAAGCTTAACAACACAACTTGTTTCACTTGTTTCGCACAAGCAAATAATGCAGATTTGTGCTCTTAGTTGTAAAATGAAACCTCAGTTTCGCTCCACATGAAAGCATTAGAAGGACCAGTGCTTAAAGAAGAAGAAGCGTGTGGTGTTCCACACTAAGGAAACTGATTACGTCTGTTATATTCCAACAATCCTGCACAGAAATGTCAATGTTGCCACGGAGACAGCTCTGTTTTCAAGAATATTTACAGCTGGAAATATTTGTCCCCGGTGCTCTCTCTCTCTCTCTGGCAAGCGAGCCGGCATGCGTGCACGTGCACACACACACACACACACACACACACACACACACACAAATTATTTTTTTCCCCACTCAAAAAGGGATTCATGGCAGAGGATTATGAACATGGCAACAGGACAAACAGCCTGACAGTGGATCCTCTGGCTCTGCAGGATCTGAAGTGGAGGAAAGTGGACCATGGAATCCCACTTTAAAGGCCTTTCTTCAGTCTGACATCAACTGAACTCCGACCACCTCCTCCCACACACACACACACACACAGTCAAGTTCAGCCGTGCTGCAAACATCTAAAGCTTCTTTTGAGTCAAACCTCACAGAGTCACATTTCGCCGTGTCTCATAACTGCGGACGGGGTTTTATTGCAAAGTGGTGGCACTTTTTGAGCCACTGGCAGCCAAAGTGCTCCTTCATTGTCAGACTTTGAAAAATGAACCTGTGTGTCAGCTAAAGGGACCCCGCAATTATTCGACTGGGCCCCGACAATGCTGCTTTTGTGACGGGGGGGCGTCCCGGTGGTTCTCATAGTGGAAGATGTCCACACACAGACACACACACACATTCCAGCACGCTGACGGCAGCAGCGGTGACATGAAGAGTAATAAAGCTCTCAGACACGACCTCCATCTTTGGCATTCGCTGCCCAACGCACCGCTTCATCGCCGCCGCCGCCGCCTCAGCTACCAAACGCGCGGCCCGTCTGTCAGCGTGCACGCCCCTTCTGTCAGCGTGCACGCTCGCAGCTTCTCGCATGTTTCCAATCGCAGTGGGAAAGAAGCTGCGCGGCGCATTTGGCGCTAATTGCGAACACGTTGACGGACTGTGATTGATCCGTTCGTCGTGGCGTAAGCTGTGAAAACAGTAAGCGAAGCCCGCAGGGGCCCGAGAGACGTATCAGTGGAGACATAATTGAAACCATCTACGCAGCACAAAGGCCTGCAGGTATCTCTCTCTCACCACGGACTCTGATCATCATCAAGTTCATCTCAAAACAAGGCTTCCCCAATGTTTGGCGAACGCCATGTTTCTGAATTCCAGAATAAACAGTTAAATGTGCAGGAACTTTGGAGCCCGTCCAATCCTACACTAGGAATCCCATGGGACTCGGGGGGGGGGGGCTCAAAGCAGATACAGCCTTCAAATGCATACTCAAAACCACTAAAGCCCTTTCCATGGTCACACACATACACACTTTAATTATTATATATATGGGCTTAAAGAGATGAAAGTGAAAGGGGGGATGTAACATGTGGTATTGCTGTGATAATGCTTTAATAACACAATAAAAGGTTGTTAAATATATGTGTCAATGGGTTACTACATCACTATTTCAACGCAACTGTGATGGTTGTTGATGCCGCATTGCATTACCACAACATTCAATACAGTAAAGTTGTTTAATGTTCCTCTTACATCTTACTCTCAAAGTAACGTCGGTCCTGCTCAGCCGGGACCAGAGTGCAAACACTTTGACGAGAACACACGAGGCAAAGACGGAGTGCACGTACCGTCCAACAGCTGAGCGGAGGAGCAGCAGAACCACAGCGCCAGGGGAAATAATCCAAAGAGCCGTGGCGGGATGCTGCACAAACGCACAAGGAAAGAGTTAGAATAACCGCCTGGATGTGGACGTGAAATGACGCCTGTGCAGAAAACAAAGCGTGGCTCGTTTACCGTGGAGACATCTTCAGTGACGCTGTGATACCAGATAAAGTTGTCCTGTTCATGTGCAGTGGCCCTTGTGTGTGAGAGAGAGAGAGATGGAGCTCACTCTGCCCCTCTTACTGAAAAGTAAAAGCTTTGCACTCTCCTCCTCCTCCTCCTCCTCCTCCTCTTCTCTCTCTCTCTGGTTTCCAGTCAAACAAAGGCAGCTTCAGTGAGCCGGACTCACGGGGGCCTCGCCGCGCTGAAATACGACTCCTCGTGTCTCTCTGTGGACTTTCCTAATCCAGCCCCCCCCTCAGACACCACAACTCCAGATACAAATTAACACACTCCAGCTAAGTCCTCCTCCTGCCGCTTCTCGCTGGTGTGGTTTCTCTCGCTTTGCCCCGGATTTAATGCCTCCGGATGTGCAGCCCTCAACTTCAAAATGTTTTTTTTTTGTAAATTCCCGAAGACAGGAAGTAAATCAGAGTAAATGTTGGAACAGCTGAAACCAAAAAGCTCATCTTCTCACTCCCCAAATACACCGTTAAAATGTCCGACTATTAAAAGTTTATTTTCCCTCCAGCTTGAGGCGTTCCAGGTCGCAGTAGAAACCTTCTGGTGTTCAGGCTCCCGGCTGGACTCGTCTCAGAATTCCTACAGCCGGTCGGAAAGCCGGATCAGAGGGCCAAACATCCCGAACGGAGCCACGACTCAACTCTCAACTGCTGAATCCCTGTGAGGCAAACGCCATTTGGACTCCTCACCATCAGAGACGCCTGGTGCACAGAAAACGGGGGAGATTGACTTTGCTTCGAGCCATCAGTGAGTCATCGTCTGCCACAGAGTCTGCACTCGAGAGCCCCGCTGAAGGGAATCTGCCTACAACAAACAAAGGCGAACATCACACAGTCTCGCTGGCCGAGGGGGGGGGGCTGATAAGACGTGTTCAGACCTTGATTGTGACAGCTGCGACAGACAAGAGCCATGCGAGGGGGCTTCGCTGATAAGACCTCAGTGACCTCGCGCAGAGTGGCCGCCGCCGCCGCCGCTGACGGATATAGAACGCGGCAGGTGGGAATATGAGAGTCTCAAGTTACAGGTGTTGTGTATTTGCACAATCAGAATCACAATACGGTTTATTGCCAAATAGGTTTTCTTTTTAAAATAAATTTGCCTCATACAAGAAATGCAAAATAGACGCCATAAGAAGAATACAGCAGGAGCAGGTACACAATCACACCTTGCTTCCTGTAATAATCAGTCCAATTTGGTTGGAAGTCACAAAATGCTCGCGGGTGTTCACTCCGCTCCACAGGTGTCCCAACGAGTCACCGTGAGCCGACGATGGTGAAGTCTGCTGGGACACAAATGAGCTTCGCGCATGAGAGTCAATGTTTGTGTTTCTGTCCACGTTCACACGTGAAAACGCGGCTGGCAGGTGGCAGCAGGACTATTTTCTTTTCATGGATGTTCGCTAGAACACTTATTGGTCTGTTTTTATCTGCGGCATTATGCGTGATGCTGCAGTGCTTTCTCTCTATGCCACAGAAATCACCTTTAAAACGGCAACTTTGCACTAAATCCAACACCATCCACCCAGATCTCCTCCTGCATCAGTGTAATAAATGTAAAAGTGCATTTCCCTCTTCAATCGTATTAACAAACTGGACGTTTTTCACGTCACAGCTGAAACAAAAGGTGATGAATGAACAGATTACAAACATGAGTGGAGTGAATGAAGTTTTTTGTGGCCTCCAGGATTCCTCTACACCCCCCCACCTCCACCCCCCTGTAGGTGAGTGATGTGAGATCTCCACGGGAGTCTTTGTATTTGGTGGTAAACACAGTTGAAAGCCTGCTCCTTGAAAGGAGGGAGACGAGGAGACAAAGAGTAACAGACCGGTGTTTCCATGCAAAGAAAACAGTAAGAAGAGGGGGGATTTGGGGGGGATTTGGGGGGGAGGGGGGGCTCAGCCTGTGGGTGGCCGCAGATCCGAGGTCTTGCTGGAATGACTCAGAGAGATAGCAGGTCCTGTGTTTTATTTTCGGGAAATTCCATGTTGTGAAGCTCAGCTCCACCAGGCAGCAGGGAGGGGGTTCAGTGCCTTGCTCGATGGAACCTCTGCACCTCTTTCCTCCTTAGCTTTGTAGTTTCGACACAAGCGCCCCAGCATCCGGGTTTGGGAGTTTAGGGACTGCAGCCTCAGGGAGCCTCTTCACAAAAGCCGGGGGGCGTGGGGTTCAAAGGTCGCACTTTGTCTCGGAGCGCGGCATTGGCGGCGTCCCGGGTCACGCTCAAAAATAACAAGTGCTTCTGCTGTTTTTTAAGCTGAATTTCAAACGCAGCGTTAACAAAGGAGGAAGCCAAACTTGTGAAAACAAACGGTGGCTCCTCCATTCAGCCTCTGAGTGATTGGCAGGGAGCTGCAAGGTTAAGCTGCCTTTTTAAAGTGAAAAATGAGCTTTAAATAAATAGATTTAGACCTCCAGGGTCTAAATCTATTGACTGAGGCAAAATAGACCCGTGTATTTATTATCGACGAGTTAGCAAAATAAACTTTACCCAGAATGCACGCACAGAAAAATAAATTGTGCTGCACATTGGTGAAAACGTTCTAGAATAAAGCGGAGTTCCTCATAAATCATGGATTCTTGGCTTGTAGCTCCAGTTATTCAAACACAGACGCACCCGTGTGAGATCACGGGGGTTTTCATACCATTAAAGTGTCTTTGTGAATAAATTGTTCTTTACATTAGTAACATGGCTGTGCTTACAGGTGTTTTAATAAAGTGCCGAGCAGAGGGAGATGCCAGTGCATTTAAAATCTTTAGATTTACTGCTCCACAGGCCATGTGGTTAATGCAGACTGTGAAGTTCGACCGGGCCCACTGCCTACGTACACACATCCGTCCACTTGCATGGGAGAGACCCGGCCGCAGTCCGCCGGGTAATTACCATGTTAAATTGTCATTCTGGTTTAGTGCTCTGCGCAGATTCGAAGGAGTAAATGTAAGCAGCCCGAGCGTAATGGAACCCACCGTCGGGGGGGGGGAAGGAATCGGGAGCAGCCAGATATTGTTCATTCATCCAGCGCTGCAGCTTGGAGGGGGAAAAAAAAAAAGTGGAAAAATAAGACGTCCCAAACATGGTGGGAGTTGCTTTTAGGTGGGTGGAGGATCGTCACGTGCACAGTGTGTGAGGTGGTCTCAGTCGATCACGTCCGTCATTCAAATCGAACGGAAATCCTCCTTAAAGTAAGTAAGTAAGCAGTTTGTGAACAAACACACGTATGTACCTCCATGACTCACGCGTGCAGGAACGTTATTCCTACCTGATTCACGCGAGCTCGACATTAAGGGTTGCCAGGTTGCCATTGGCAACCATTTTGAGAAATGACTTAACAATTTCCAGCTTGGCAGCAACCACTTTGTTCTTATAATAATAATATCAAAACGTCCAACATGGCTGCCGGATGACGGCCTACTTGATTAAATGGACTAAAATACAGTGTAAGCACCATCATGCAACACCACTTACTGCGTTATGTAAATAAAAAACGCACGCATGTGCATGCATATCCATGAGTATGAACACGTGGGCGGCCGCTCGGTAAACACTGAGTCGTGGTCGGGCCTCGTGCCGACACTCCGCCTCACTTCGTTTCCTCTCACACCGCCTCCAGAAACTCAACTTATCCCCACATTTTTTCTTCCTTTCATAAAGCAGCCACTGTTGAGTCGCTTTCTGTCCATCTTCATGTTCCTGCATCCAGAAGTGAGAAACGGGGTCACGAAGTTGGTTGAAAAGCAAATGCCAGTGAGTTAAACTGTTAAACGTTTACATCCCATTCAGCATTTCTCTTCACTTCTCTGCTACTTTCTTTTCAAGGTAAATTACAAAGGACAACAAGCATGAATTAAATAAATCTTTAGCTCTTCTTCACCCTTTGGCCCTAGATTACTTCTGCACACTAACAATTTATGTGATTTATGAACATGTACACAAAGCAATCAGGGAGTTTATTCTGAATAACAGAGCTCCAAAACCCTGTGAGGATAAAACTCTGTAAACATCATTTCAACCGATGCATTGAGTTCATTTCTTGTCTGCTTTGCATCAACGATGAGGAAAAGGTTTGTGGTTCCGGGTGGGAACGTTTCCTGCACGTCACATTTCACCCTCGCGCTTATTTAGAGGACAAATGTCACGAAAAAGAACTTTTCCTCCTATGCGTGCAAGGTGTCGTCTCATCCAGGCGTCTGGTATTAACATCGGAATCTCCTCCTGTCTGCTGCGCCGCCAAAAGCCCCCCGGGACCATAAATAACCTCCATCGCCGCGTCCAGCGTTTCCATTCAAACGTTGGACGTCTGAGCCGTGCGTCGACCTTTTTGAGCTCCGATCAAAAGTCACTTTTCCAGATGCAATGCAGATTTTCACACACAAAACACAGAATCCTAACACTTTTCACTCAGTTGTATGTGACACAAATCATAAGACCACACAGATCATAAACGAGGCGGCATTCTAGCGGCTGACACTGTTGTCCTGGTTACCGGGTCAGTGAGCATGGGTTGTTTTTGAGAACACACAAAATGCACAAACGGGAAAAGTGAGCCTGAAAAAAAGACGGAAACAAGGTTTGGATTAAGAGCCGCTCGAGCATCTGCATCAACTAAGTAGCTCATTCATGCAGGCAGCCCCACCCTTTACCTCATGGAACACTTGAGGTCATGTTGAAGCTGGATTTCAAATCAAGACGACGCTCCTTCCTTTCCTTTTCGTACGTGATTGTGCACGTGGTGCCGTTTTTTTTTGTTAATAACGCAATGCCAACCTGTAGTGAAACTCTGGAGACTCACGAAGGGATCGAAAGCCAGCCGAGGTCCTCCACCAGTCCCAGACACCACCACTGGATCCGCGTCCTGCTTGGTGGCGTGTTTCCATCAGTAGAAAAAGCTCGTCCAAGTAAAAAAGGCATGATGTCAGCCGAGGGTGAACGCAAAGAGTCAATCGTACTTATAAAATTCTTCGACTAATCAGTAACACAGTTGAGAGAAAGTGTGTGATCACCAAAGTGTAATTCAAACACAGTTTGAATACTTTTCCTACTCAATTTGTTTCTTTGGAAATACATATTATTGAAAAATGTAACATTAAGGATTTGTCCTGGAAGCTTGCCTATGTACACACACAATTACACACACACACACACATCTGTTCATCCAACGATGACACTGTAAATAATCCAAAACAAAGAGGCCTTCTTTGTTCTTCATGTCTGGAGTCCAGAGGCCTCAGCCCCCGTTCAGCGCGCTGTCATCGCCATATTACACCCTGTTATCCGCACATGCCTCTTCAAGGGCACGCCTGAGTACATACAGTACGGTGGTATGTCATCGGCGGGACGGTCAGGTGACGCCAACTGTCTTCTTCTCTACGCAGGTGAGTTTGGCGGCCGATAGAGGGTTAAGAGGATAAAGGGTTCTTTTGTAACAGAGGTCAGTGCCGGGGTCGAGGTTTTCATCAGCGCAGCTGACTGCCGC